TGTTTAGCTGGCATACAATGTGGAAGAACTGTGAGTAGACGGCTAGTCACTGCAAAGGTCTGGCTTCGAGGCCTGCTGGGGGCGCAGATGAGTAGTGGGCGAGGCAGAAGGAAAGTTGAAATTTAATGGCAAAATCGAGATCCCTTTTATCTCAGCTAACCAACTTTAATGCATCAAATAGTTGAGGTAGAGTGGCCTCAACATTGGGCCACTTGGATCACATTTAAGGCCAAGGTTGCACTTTATAAGAGTACACATTCAACTTCTTAAAATGCAAATAATGTTAGTGCATTGCCGTGCGAAAATCTATCCTTCTTGTTGCACCATCAGGTCATGCTCTATAGCAGCATACAGTGACATGAAAGCTAATGTCACGATATTTTTCGTGTTTGAGTAGAGTTTCGAGACTAACAGTAAATCAGTAATATGAGGTGATGAAGGACGGGTAGCAGAATTTCCCCACAATGAAATGAATAGAACTGACATTTCCATTCAATTTTCGCATAGCCTTGATTTACCAAAAGTTGGTCCAATCCAGGCCCTTGGGTCACGGGGCTGATGTGAATTTTGCCATATCATACTCTTTGGTGGGATTGTCGATGAAGCAAACGTATATTTGCTATGACAATCGACTACGCATTTAAGTATTGTTTCGAGACTACCAGTAAATCAGTAATATGAAAGTAAGGCTGTGTGAAATTCCATGGAAACGTCAGCTCTAATCATATCAATATGGGAAAATTCTTCTACCAGTCCTTCATCACCTTAAACCACATAGGGTGAATACATCTCATATTAATGCTGGGATAATTTGAATATAGTTTGAAGGTGTTAGTGAAAGGGATTGTTAGATTCGCTTCTACAGAAGCTGAAGTAAAATCGCCTTGGAGTTTTTATTCATACAGCAAGACTCGTTTGTTGGCATCAAGTTTTGACAGAAATCACCTTTCATTAGACTGTCAACCTCCTTTCGTGTGCGTTTGCAAATGTTTTCCCACATCTACAGATCTTAGGCACCTTTCAAAAAGTGCACAGCCTAAAGCTGCAAGTCTGTGCAAAGTTACTCATTCTCATGCATTGAGATCAGACTTCACTTTTACTCCGATCATCATTATTTGCCCAGCGTCTAAGAGTTGGAAGAATGCATTTGTAAACCAGAGTGCAGCGAGTATTATGACGATTTCTCTGAATCTCCTTCTGCCAAGTGTTTCATTAATACTTTCGTAATGAGCAGCAGAGGCTAATTGCATCAAGTATACACGGAACTGTGCCGAGTAAACCTTCGGGAATGTGGTCTTGAAGCCGTGTGTATCAGTTCGAGTCCCACTTGGAAGCTCCGAGATTGCGACGGAAAGGCTTCGAACCTCCTCCGTATTTTGTCTTGAGCCGCGCATCCTCAACCTTTGAATTATCAGTTCGCTGACGGCAGAAATGGAATTGCAATCATCTCCTCAGTCTTTCACATTTAC